AGCCCAATTCCCAAATTCCCAAATTCCCAAATCCCCCAATTCCCACGTCCCCCAATTCCCAAATTCCCAAATTCCCAAATCCCCCAATTTCCACGTCCCTCAATTCCCAAATTCCCGAAATCTCAAATTCCCTAACTCCCAAATTCCCCAATTCCCAAATTCCCCAATTCCCAAATTCCCGAAATCCCAAATTCCCCAAATCCCAAATTCCCCAAATCCCAAATTCCCCAAATCCCAAATTCCCCAAATCCCAAATTCCCCAAATCCCAAATTCCCCAAATCCCAAATTCTCCAAATCCCAAATTCTCCGCTCGCCTTTGGCTCGTTCGCTCAATAAATATATGAACTTCAAGCTTGTATACCACTATAAATGTGCTTATTCAATTACATAAATTAAAATTATCTATAATTTAGTTAAAAATATACACATTAAACTACATTAATACATATTTATAATCGATACTTATCACAAAGTAGCAAGAAAGCAACTGATAAGCCCGTAGCAGTCGTGGCCGAGTGGTTAAGGCGTCTGACTAGAAATCAGATTCCCTCTGGGAGCGTAGGTTCGAGTCCTACCGACTGCGAGAAAGTGTGGCTTCATTTTTTTTTTCTCTTGAAAATTATATTTTTTCAATCTTTTCAATACTCTAACAATTGGTAATTGTTGTATATTTATTTTTACATTGAAAATTTTTGGAATTTGAGAAATGTAGAAATTTGGGGGAATTTGAAGAGGTTGGAGGAATTTGAGTTATGGGGAATTAGAGATATGGCCATTTAGCAGCGAAACGGGTGAATTGAACCTAAAAAATGATGGTCCGCACACGCATATAAGGCAAATAACAAAATGAATATTTTGGCACTTTGGCGACGTAGTATGGTTCCTGAGGCATTTAGAAACAAATTTCTATTAGGGTTGGATGCGTTTTGATGCCTAATAATGCCAGGAAATCAATTTCTGTCGAATTCGGTAAAAAACGGAGCGGCGAGCGGCGGAACTACAAAAAACTAAAATTTCGATTTTCTCCGAAATTAGACAATATTACGTATTTCTAAGGGTCAGAAATTGTTCTATAACCTCTCTAGAATTTATATAATGCCACAAGAACCTCCTGAAAGCGCTAGAAAAGAAAAGAAAAAAATAGGTCAAAACATGGACTAAAAAATTGGCGTCCATCTAGCGGTGAAAGCTGGAACTACAAAAATATAAAAATGCGATTTTCTCGAAAATTAGCGAACTTTGTGGACTTCTGAGGCTCAGAAAGTGTTATGTGATCGCATTAGAAGCAAAATAAAGAAATAAAAGTTTCCTGAAAGCTTTAATATAGAAAATAAAAAAAATGACATTTTATGGTGAAAATTTGTGGTGCCATCTAGCGGCGAAACTGCGAACTAAACTGAAAAAACGTATGTCCGAACACGCAGTAAAGGGGTCAAATAAAAACTGATTTTCTGGACTTAATAGGCAAAAAAATGAATAACTTATTGAACAAAATTTGCTTTAATTTTGTTCAATAAGTTATTCATTTTTTTGCCTATTAAGTCCAGAAAATCAGTTTTTATTTGACCCCTTTACTGCGTGTTCGGACATACGTTTTTTCAGTTTAGTTCGCAGTTCCGCCGCTAGATGGCGCCACAAATTTTCTCCATCTAGATGGCACCACAAATTTTCACCATAAAATGTCATTTTTTTTATTTTCTATATTAAAGCTTTCAGGAAACTTTTATTTCTTTATTTTGCTTCTAATGCGATCACATAACACTTTCTGAGCCTCAGAAGTACTCTAAGTTCGCTAATTTTCGAGAAAATCGCATTTTTATATTTTTGTAGTTCCAACTTTCACCGCTAGATGGACGCCAATTTTTTAGTCCATGAAATGGGCTATTCATGTTTTGACCTATTTTTTTATTTTCTTTTCTAGCGCTCTCAGGAGGTTCTTGTGGCCTTATATCGATTCCAGAGAGGTTACAGAACAGTTTCTGGCCCTCAGAAATACGTAAAATTGCCTAATTTCGGAGAAAATCGAAATTTTAGTTTTTTGTAGTTCCGCCGCTCGCCGCTAGGTGGCGCCACCTATACCGTTTTTTTTTTTTACCAATTTCGAGAAAAATTGATTTCCAGGCTTTGTTAGGCATCAAAACGCATAAAACCCTAATAGAAATTTGTTTCTAAATGCCTCAGGAACCATACTACGTCGCCAAAGTGCCGAAATATTGCACCTTGCATGCGCAGTAGAATTGACATACGCAGCTCATGTACGACCTTGTAGTATTTATACTCCTACATTATTGTATATCGAAATAACTAGTTATATCTATTTTATTTATTTTTAATTATTGTTTTTTACTTATGTAATCTAGTTTAATTTTTATTTTACAGCTGAACCGATTCTTTCATCATATAACACAATTTATTTACCGTTGTATTGCACAATTAACTTATCCATTTATTATGTATTTATTTATAAACTACTCTTCTATCATTATAAATCAATTAATATAATAAACTTTGAATATTGTGCAAATCGTAATTTTACATGTTTCTAATGCATATCTACGCGCGCTTTTAAAATGCTATCACCACTGCCACCTAGTGCTCCCTAAAAGAGCTAATAAAACAAACAAATGTTTGTTCTTTTCTCGTAAAATGAACAATACATTATACGTACATATTTCATGGCAGAATGTTTCCATCTGATTTTGACAGCTGATGTTTGTTCCTCTTTAATTTAACATGTGACACTTATTAAATTTCGTAAATAAACATATAATTTTTAGTTAAGTATAAGGTAGTTAAATGTAGAATGGCAGAGAGAAGTGATACGTCGAATCAACAGAAATCTGATAGCACTGAAAAGGTTATGAAGGAGAAGGAGGCCGATATTAGTCGTTATTTTGAAAATGCATCTCGTACAATATTCGACGAGATCGTTTCACCTAAAAAAGATTTCTTTGACGTACAAGGAGATTCTGGAAGCAGAATGGCAGAATTTGAATTGTTAGCGGATGATTCGAGTGAATTCTTAAAAGGCAGTTCGTTACTTGGTAACGATCGACCTGATCACAGTGGAGCAAACGACATGCACAGAGATACTTGGATACCTTCGGAACAAACGAGAAAAGTGCTGCGAAATATCGCCACGTCTACTGCTGGAACGAGTTTCGTCGATAGAGATAACCTAACAATGCCAGGACTCGCTATTCAAGGTGATATGCCTAACTTAATAAAGAATGCTGCCATGCGGTTCCTAGGTGAAGATGAAAATGTAGCCAGAAATGTACTTACCGCTTCTGATGTAACACAGGATGAACGAGGCTTGCGACAGTTAATTCAAGCTGGTTGTTATAAGGCAGCAATTAATTTAACAGGAAGGTTATTAGCTGTGTATGCTCAAGGATATGGTAAAATAAACCAACCTAGCAAACACACTCCTCATTCTTTGCAACTGTGGTACACAAGACTAGCTTTGTTAACTAAACTAAAGCAAATTGATATTTTAGAAAATGAATCCAAACCGTTTGGCAACTTGGATAAGCCTGATATGTACTTCACGTTTTATCCTGAACTCTATGGTACTAGACCAGGTTCTATGGCTTCCTTTTCTTTTAGATTGCTTTTAGCAGAAATTCCACAATACTGTGGAAAACCAAAGCAAGCATTAGATAATCTGTTTAAGATTTTAGCTACTGTGAATCAGATTATAAATAATTTTAATGCTGGATTCAATGGAGATGGATCACGTGTTAAAATCAATGCCTCAGAACAAGAGGATGCGATACGGTTATGGAAAGGCAGGAGATCCAGAGTTCTTATATCTATTACTAACTGTGCAGTTAGTATGAAAAATTATATACTAGCTATAGAAGTCTTAGAGAAATTATGCAACTCTACAAACTGGACACCTGAACAAATGGATGCTTTGAAAGCTAGTATAGGTAGACTACATCTGTTTCTGGGAGATATATCGGCAGCAGAGAAATTACTAATCAATCCACAAAAGCAAGACAGTGACCTAACTGTTAGAGAGCTAATGGACAGAGGATTAATGGCAGTAGCTCAAAATTCTTTCCCAGAGGCATACAACTATTTTCAAACTGCAGAGGCACTGGATCCATCTAATATCGCTTTGATTAACAACATAGCTGTCTGTCTATTATACACTGGCCAGCTAAAAGCTGCAGTACGTTTATATGAGAGTATGATTACAAGAAATCCTGTTAAAAGCTTACAAGAACCTATATTGTTGAACATATGTACTTCATACGAATTGCATACTACTCACTGTAAGCAACCAAAACTACACTTATTGAGCCAGTTAAATAGGTACAAAGGGGATGCTGTAGATATACAGTGTTTGAAACTCCCCTTAAACTAAACTTTTAGTTTGTCTGTGTACAGTATGTAATTGCTTGAAGATGAAATTTTAAATCTGTTATTCAATTATGAAGATATTGCATTGGTGTATAAATTTTATTGAATAAAAAATTGATTTGCTTCATATTTTTAAACAGGCAATTTTTTATTTCAATTCCAGCATCCACAGTTAAATTGTTAAGAATATTTTTCATTTTGAATATGTTGTAAATAGTATAAAATAAATATTAATAAGTACATAATAAAAATGAAGGATATTAAAAAATCGATATTAAAGGATTTTTTTTAAATGGGACATGTGGCGACATCTAACGGCGGCGAGTGGGAACTAATGAAAGTAGAGTTTCAAAAGTGTGTAGTTCACCCTGTTCGCCGGAGAGATGGCGCCACTAGTAAAAATTTTTTTTAATTAATTAACATTGATTTTATTGATTAACATGCTCTGTATTTGTTAATATTAATTTTATGCTGTGTACAATATATTCTATGGGTTCGAAAATAATTTTCCTAAACTTAATTTCCTATTTCAATAGCTCCGTGTTTGATCGCTAGATAGCAACAGTGGTCATTTACTAAAAGAGCGCGAACTGATAAAAAATATGTAGGAAGAAACTTTGGAAATATTTTCAACTTCTTAAAATAATTTCTTCGTGATAAAATATTGCTTTTAATTAATTACCTTAATCAGACATAGTTTCAGTCAATTTTAAGGAATGTTTAACAAACAGTAGCATGAATGGTTTAATACACCTTGTCTTTTTAAGTGACAGGTGCAAAGTAATTCAAGACTGATATCAAAGTAAAATAGCCTTTATTACATCGTGAAACGAGGACAATTTAATGAACGTTCAACAATTGCTAGAATTCTCTCACTCTCTCCCACTTTCTCTCTCACATTCAACCTCAGTCATGCACACATTCCTCCTCATTCTCTCCACATTCAGTCACTCGGATGAACTGCTCACGCTTTATTATAATCTCGCACCTCTTTTCTTTCCCTTCGTTTCATCGCTTTTTCTTAACCCGTTACACTAACCGAAACAATCGGTGTGCTCGTAATGTTCGAGGATCATAATCGCATTACAGGACACACGCTTTGTTATCTCAAACATAATCTTTCAGATTTCTTCGCGTAATTATCATCCTTTCCCTCTGCCCGCCTGTTTATTTTCAATTATTATTTTCGGTACCGTATATACATCAAAATCAGCTAACCAAATATTCTTTCTTGCTCTCCCTTTTCCGTTAGCAGCAGGCGGTAACATTACAGCATACATTCAGATCGTTTCCAAAACTGCACTCTCTCTCCCTGCAGAAAAAAGGCACGAACTGGCGGAAAAGTCGGCCTAACTGTATAATATTTTCATTTATTTTATTTATGGATGGAACTTCGTCACAATACATTATTTTAATTTCATCTCTTTTCTGCTGCTTCTTTCCGCAGTGTTCAACAGCTTCGGCTTTTATTCCCGTACGAGCCGAATTCACTGATCCGAGCCACGTAGTGTTCGCAGTGTTCATTCTTATTCGCATAAACCTTTCTTTATAGTTTTACTTTTCCTTACTCTTTCTTTCTCTATATATTGAATGCCCATTAACAACGATCGAACTTACGAAAGGAGATCGTTCTCGTTAAATATACTTTTTATAACATTTATTACCGATCTAGAACTCCTTCCTTCCCCGAATCATTTTCGAATTCATTTTAATATATTTCTTATCATTGCAATTACTTCTTATCGTTTTCGTAATAAATTAAATATTTAATCAGAGTTGTAAATGTTAAGTGGTTCTGCAGAAACATGACAATTTTTTAAATCGTAATTTAAAATGTGTGTTTACAAAAACATGTACTATGCGTTGGACGTTCAGACTTGCTTTAAATTTTGGGGTTCACTGTTTATATAATTTACAGAGTTTATATAATACTGTTTAAATTTTTAAATTCACAAGTTTCCACACTGAGAAATTTAGATGTACAACTTTCAAATTTTTTAATTTAAAGAATTTAGAAATGGGGAAATTTAGAAATTTAGTAGCATGGGAATTTAGTCATCTGACAATTTGGAAATTGTATCATTTTGAAGATTCACAAAATTTCAATTTGGTAGCAGTTCTTGAGAATTCCTGAATATGAAAATTTGAAAATTTCTAGGGCCTTCAAAAGCGCCCCATTTGCAATACTAATGAACTTTGTCTAATGTCCAAACTTCCAAGATCTCTTAGCGCAGAACGTCCTAGCAAAGCTTAATTACAAAGGTAAAATATAAAATTGTATTCGGAGAAGGCACTGCGTCCACTACGTAGCTTTACCTTCCGGTTTACAATTTTTCCTCTCCCTCTCTCTCATCTACCGTATATTACGCTTCGCTGTTACAATAACATCCGCATCGCTATTCCTGGCGACTAAAATGTAACCTTACGAATGTATTACCTATGTACATACATATGCTGTCTGCCGTGTACGCACATACACACCGGTTCGTGCATGTGTGCGCACCTGTGCAGACCGTTAATTTAGCAAATTTATTCTGTTTTCCACACTTACAATGTATATATAGAATTATTATATATACTATTGTGTAATGCTTACGCTCTCTAAAAACCTCTAAACGAAACAGTATTATTGTCCTGCCGTAAATTTTTTTTCTTCGTCGTTTTTTTACTTCCGAGTATTTTTTTCTCTGTGCACACATACATACGCTTGACACGCACACACAACCACGGATTCTGGTGTTTCACGTAAAACGGTTGTCATGGAAAGCTCAAATAGCATAACCACACCAGTGTGTTCGTCGAGTACAGCTTTTTAAAGCGAACTATGTTCGATTACTCTCGTGTGCTTCTCGCCTCGAATAAAATAAAATACATTTTTATCGTGGTTGAATTTTGTAGAATTTCGATCTGGAGAAAATATAATGCAAGGAGAAACATCACGGGAGTAACATTACTTTCGACGAGAGAATTCACCTCGAGATCGAATCAATGAATTTCTATGTTAATCTCGGTAAACTAGGCAAGCTCGGTCGTTCACGGAAGGCATCGTACGGTGCTCATCTTTAAATCGTTGCATTAACAATTATTAACAACTTTTTTTTACTTTTTTTTTCCTCGTATTTCTCTCCTCACTTTCTCGTGTTACGTTTGTTTCGTGTTCTTTTTCTCTTTTTTTTTACGAGTATCCATTTCGCTTATTTATTTTTTTCTTGTTAGTTATAATAGGAAGTAACGGAGACATAACCGATGCCGATGCGCGGAAGCTGGCAAAATTACACTTGTAGTCGTGTTTTGTTATTTTTAATAATACGTATATACATTACATCGAGGCGAGCAGGTTGCGAATACTCTTCGAATCAGAGCAAATATCTCTATCTTTAGTCATCTATATTTATATTCATATATTTATATATATTTATATTCATTTATATATATAATTTTTTTATTCTTCATTTAGTCACTTATACGTATGTAATATTGTCTTCGTAAGTTTCCTGCTTTTCCTTCCTGATGTCATTAAACCCGTTGGTCGTGAAAGTATTCGAAAGTACAGAATCGAGGCTGTTAGAGATCACAACAAAAAAATAAACAATCGAACAAATGCTCATAAAAACCGTGTAAAAAAATACTCGAGGAATGCCGGGTGAAAAAGAGAAAGAAAAATATTAGGGGAGAGTCCTTTACAAACTTCAACTTCAAATTTAAAAAATTCAATTCGATACATTCACAAACTTTCTAATTTTCAAACTCGCAAATTTAAACCAGAAAAATATTCTCAAATACAAATTCTCAAACGTAAAAATTGAATTCGCAAATTTCAAAATTGAGAGTTTAAAAATCTAAAAATCTGCGAATTTGTACGTGGAAATTGTATGAGTTTATGTAGATTATTATGGTAACGTATTTTTGTGTCGGGCGCTGTGTAGTGACGGTTCTGAACTCTCCCCCATGAAAGAACGTTAAAGAAAGAAGAGAATATAAACGTAACGAGAAGAAATAACGTAGACGAATAGCAAAGCGATTACAGAGGAACGTTGAATCGTTACGATCGAGTTTCGAAACTAGAAAATAAAAATAGAATATTCTCGCGTTAATCTGTACCAGCCGAGGAACAGACTCGCCGCCGGTCCCACGTTGAACCGGGGCGATCGAATTAGTATATTATCGTCGTGTATATATAATATATCGTGTCGTAATATTATAATAATATAAAAATATATTTCTTAACTATTAACACTATATAATAAATGAGTATTATAAGCATCATATCTTGGATTCCTTTTTTTCATTTTTCGTAGTACGGACACGATGCCTGTCGCGGATAACCGGAGCTTCTAGACGCGGAGGAAATGCAACACGGTGGCGTACCGCTTGGCCGAACACGATACTACTATTTGACACGACTTCTTTTATTTATTTAAATATACACCTTGCTCGTGTATCCCCGTATTAAGTCGTCGTTTCCTTTCTTCAATTGTTTTCTTCATTTTTCTTTTTATCAATAACAATATATATATTTATAATAATAATATATATCACTTGTCACTCGTGGTACGTGTAAATAAAAAGAGGCATAAATCGTTATAAAATACATTCTCGAGTATTATCGATCTGTAGATTATATATATATATATATATATAATATATAATATATATATATCGCTTACCTACGCGTCCGAATGAATAAAATCATAAAAATGTTGTAATAATAATTTTTCATCTTTAATAGTACAGTATTGGAAGCATTTAATATACTTATGAGTTTACGATCGGGGCCCGCATTCTTGGTGAAGGGATTTTTTTTTTCTTTCTTATTGCGAGGTTCTCGATGCCATTGTTTCTTTCGTGCATCGAAGATCAGCTCGTTCTCATAGCTGTCTATGAGTGAGCTCGACAGAAAGTACGAGAGGCCATGGTTGATGCTTCACCATGATGAGAATGATTCGTATGAAGAAATTAAGAGGGGCACGGAACGGAATGTCTGAGGCATACCTTGCTTCTTTTCCTAGGACTTGCACTTTTTTCTTTTTCCGTTGACGTAACTAGAACTTTTACCTCTACTAAGTTTTTACATTTGACGTTTGACAATTTGAAATTAAAACCTTAGAACTTTACAGATTTAGAAATTTGGGTAACTAGAAATGAGAAGATTTGACAATGCACAAATTTGTAAATTTACAAACTCAGACTTTAATCTTCAATCTCCAATCTTTACCTAGTTACGTCACTGGTCTTTACAAACGACGTTACGGGGCCATACGATTGCAGTGTATTGTAAAGCTTTAGTCACTATTTCAAATTATAGTTACGAAATTTCAACTGAAATCCCTGGAATTGATGAATATGTTACACGGTGTGAACGATACGATGACTGGGAATTGAAAGTAAGTACAAAACGATCGAAAGATAGTCGTTATGGCATCGATTACCGACAAATAAGGCCCGACCTCGTCCCGAGTTTCAAAAACGACTCGAGGGGGTCTGGAGAGCTATAGATTCTAATTTCCATTCCCAACAGTTAAATCAGAAATCGCGAAATGCGAATGTACCCGAGTGTACATACATCTTGTTCGATGCTTTTTTGATTAATATCAATGTTAACGCTCCAAAACTGTTGACTAAACCGAGACACTTAACATACAACTAGCTGAGAATTTCGGATTAAAAGAGGAAACAATACTTCATTCCCATTTTCTTCTTCTTTCCAATAAACTGGCTATTGTTGAGGACAAATTCGATCAAAAATATAGAGAAAATTGTTCCTGTCCTTTTGACACACGACTATCTCATCGTGTATAGAATATCTTACATCGGATGTTTCACGCGCAACTTCTTCAAGTTCTATGGAACTCTTCGTTACGTGTATTCGCGTTGCATCCCTTCGCCATTTTGTTTGCGCGTCCGCGACCGAGTATCGCGTTCCCCGTGCAAACGTGGCTAACAAATTTGTACGTTAATTAGTTTCCTTATTATTGTCATGGTATATATAATAATCTTGTTAATAAAAATACTAAAATATTATGTATATTATATATAATATATAATAGATTATTGCATTATGCATTTTTGGTACCGTTGCGTATTGTTTGGTTTCTATTTTTTTTATTTCTTTCGTTTTATATTCACAACTACGTCGACCGAAAAATCGACGCGGATTCTTTTATACTTTTCTGCTTTCCTTCTTATGTTCCTTTTTATCCTTCTATCAATGCAAGAACTTCAGAAGAAACACGCTCGTGACACTTGGACGACGCTCCTAGTTCAATCCTTTCTTTTATCTTTCCTGTGCGTTTTCTTTCTTTCGTAAGATTCTAACCGCTTACGTTTCACGCAGCGCAGTCGAAACAGATTCCGCAAGGTGTTCATCGCGCGAGATTCGTCGCTAGATCTTCGTTCTTCCAGCGCGTTCTCGCGCGTCATCGCGAGGTATAGATACGTGTATATATTATCGTTTTCTTCTTTTTTCCTCGAACTTAAGTGCCGAGTCCCGCGCGGAAGGAAAAAAGGACCGTACGTACTTAACTAAGCCAGCGAAGGAGATTCCGTTTGAACTAGCAGAATACCACCTATTCTCTATACGGTTTGCAGTAAGAGTAACGATGATTCATGTGTTGGCTGTACGAGCCCGAGTGAGAGAAGCGCTTGAGGCACTTGGAGCATTGGAAGGGCTTTTCCCCGCTGTGCAGTCGCTTGTGTTCGGTCAGATGGTGCTTGTGCTTGAACGCCCTGGGGCACTCCACGCATTTGTACGGCCTTTGCCCTGCAGAAATTTACAGAATTTTTTTATAAATATTCTTTGTGATGAAATAATGAGAGATGGAGGGTGCAATGTAGAACTAAGAGGAAACAGTAAAAGTTACGGAGCAAATGTACCCAACAATGACCCAACTTATTTCCAGAGTCGGTACAAATTTTCAAATTCAACAATTTTAAAAATATCTATAGTTAAAACATGCGAACTGTCAGGTCACTTCAGTAACTTTTTCTAGTTTTTAGTATCTAGAATCCTTGACCTCAACCTTGAACTCAAGGTTAGATTTATTATCGAATCGTCAAAAGGCTAAAATATCTCACAGGTCAGAACTCGACAGTTCTCTTGGAAAACGATGTGAAAGTGGAGCAATCGTGGTGCAACCGAAAAAGAGCTGACACTACGTGAAAAATTAAATACAAAAATTGTATCCGCAATTTGGAATACAAGAGCAAGCAGAGATGACCATAGTGATTGATCCAGATATTTACCGGAATGTTCGTATTTGTGTCTTGCTAGGGAACTGTGCTTGGAAAATGTTTTGTCACATCGATCACAGAAGTAAACACCCTGCTCGATTTCCGCCGCTGGCGGGGCCTCTGGTTGACTGACGTTTTCACTTTCACTCTTTATGTTCGCATAAGGTTGATTTTGTAAAATGACAGCATACTATAACAAATGACTATGTTATAGACACCACATCATAAACGTATTCTTTGTAAAACTGGATGTGGAAAGGGCTAGCTACCTTTGCACCGTTCTCCCCCGTGCTAGCAGGGACCGAAGGTTTAGTTTCCACGGAATCGGTGGTCTCTTCGTCTATGACGAGCGGTGAATCCTCCAGATCATCCGTGTAGGAGTTATTCGTTACTGGATGATCGTTCTTCAGTTCGGCGGGTGGTGACGACGCATGTTTGACCGAGGCAATGTCGTTCTCTTTAAACGTTGACTGCGTGAGTACCTCTTTCTTCGACAAATCGAGTGGTTGTTCGATCGTGATCTGACTGGTGGAGTAAGCCAACGGTACCAGAGGTGGTATCTTCGATTCTCGTCTGTCTCTCGCTCGGGAATTTTGGAACCAAACCTGAAATTATTTCTTTCGGTAACATTTAAATTTGTGTCGACTTAGGAGAACTCAGACATGTCGTTAAAATTAAATATATTGTCCGTGTCTGGATAAGAAATTTATATGGAAAATGATCCTCTGAGTTCTTTAGTTCTTTATCAGTAATGTTTACCTGTACGACACGAGTAGGGAAGTTGATGTAGTTCGCGATCATGATGATCTCCTCCTTTTTGGGCCGAGGATTAATGGCATAGTAACCCTTGAGAACAGCCAATTGCTCGTCGTCTATCAACGACCTAGCTCTAACTCTCCTTCCATTATCGTTGTGCGTTTGCGTTCCATCTTCCTCGTCTTCCGAGTCCACTTCCGAGCTGTCCTCTGCTTTTCTTTTGTAGCCTGATTTCGCGGTCGGTTGATTTACGTCCTCAAGCTTCGCCGCTAAACCCTCGCTCTGCGAATCATATTGATCCATCGTTGACCAATCCGGATACTGTACCATCTCGCTGGACATTCTGCTATCTTGATCCTGCACAATTATATTTGTTAACGATTAATCACTTCATTCTACATTTGTTTTTATTCCCTTAATTTAACGATCCTGCAAACAGTACCTTTTTCCAAAATATAATTCATATACACTATAGATTAAATTGTAATATCTGACAGAGTGAACAACAATATAAATTGTTAATACATATGTACGTGTCATAAATTTAAATTGAAAATATGTACAATATTAAACTAAACCTCATGAACTAAATTCCCCTTCTAATTGAGTTATATTATCAGATTATTTCTTTAAGTAGGAACATATGAGACATCCTTGAATATTTCAGAGGAACAAAAAGAAAGTTTCAACCTTTGTAAGACTACATCTGCTAGAGGTACACGCGTTGCCTAATGATTTTACGACACGTCAATCTAAGTTGAAGGACGAAGGCGTTTGAAACGCATGTGGTCAACAGAAACATAATTTATGGCAGTGCAGTAATTCCCGGAGCCTGTTCTTTTAAATTTCATTCTACCTCCTCAAGATTTCTGACATAAAGTGAACACAAAATATGTTCGCAGATGGACATAAAATTCACTATATTTTAACAAGAATTGAACAAACTTTTACCTGATAAAAGATACTTACTTGATAATCCTCGTCGAACTCCCTCTTCATCATGGCAGGTGAGGTAGACAGCTTCCGCACGTTCGCTTCCAGCAGTTGTTTGGTGACGGAGGTGTTAACCGTTTCCAAAATCCGTCGGACAGCGTCCAGACCCTGAGGATCGGTCGGCGCCGGGGATTCTTTGCCCTCCGTGCCCTCTGTGCCCTCGGAATCCGCCGTGGATGGACTTATAAGCTCTCGGTGGGACTCGAATTGCTCGGCTACTTCGTCCAGTCTCTTGGAATGTAGCTGATTTAAGATCTTGCCCAAGGACGTTTGCAGGAAGTAACTACCGAAACCCATCATCTGAGGCAAGAGGGTCGGCATATCGTAAATACCTGTAACAAACCTTCTTTTATTACTTGCTCAAATTACTTCGTAAAACTACTGTCACTTTTATCTTCTCATTTTACTAATGTTCCCTATTGCTAAATTTTACTAGACCAAATTTTTGTTAATTTTTATAAAAACTGTACTATCGGTTTTTAACAGAAGTAAAACATATTATTCTCTAATCGAATACATTATACGCCTTTAAATAATTCTTCTCTAAAATATGTATATAGAATACAATGTATAGATACCACATATCTATATAGAATACAATGTACAAAAATTAGGATGTAATGTATAAAATTGAAATATGATGAAGAGCAGTATAAAGTGCACAAAATGGAGAACAATATAAAGCATACAAAATGGAGTACAATATAAAGTATACAAAATGGAGTACAATATAAAGTATACAAAATGGAGTACAATATAAAGTGCACATACATTATTTTCTAAAAAAGTTACATTAAATATTTACAGTAAAATATTTGACAGAATATGAACATTCAATTGGCATAATTATGTAAAACGAACGTACTGCGAATGAAAGAAAAAAAAAGTTCATAAACATTTGCCCCAGAGATCGAGTAACCGATTCGAGCCGCAACAAAATGGACACGCGGTCATCGCGATGAAATAAAATGGCGTTATCGACCCTCACCCGCTCCTTCTCGTTGTATTTCCTGGTAATCCGAGGGTGAAAGCTTCGGCAGAATAGGGAGGAAAGTGTTATTATTCGCCGCGAGCAGATCGACCTCGCGACGTCCCGGTGGCAGGGGTTGTTGCACTTTTTTCGAGCCACGATCTACATTGCTCACGTTCGAGTGCCTGGATTTCTTTAAGTTCACTATCAGGCACTTCTTCGACGTCGTGTGACTCGAGTACGAGCCCGAATGAGAGAAACGTTTGCCGCAATTGTTGCATTGGAATGGCTTTTCACCGCTGTGAATACGAAGGTGCTCCTGAAGACAGTAAAGAGATAATGAAATTAGAGGGAAATTCGGGTAATATGTCGTACATTTATAGGTTCTAAAGCAAATTATCTTTGGAACAGATGTATAGAGAAAGAAAATTATTTTTAATTTTTATTATTTTTTAATATTTTCAAGGTCACCCTCTTGAGTGGAGGTGTTCAAAAATTATTGATCTAAGTAAACTTCCTCTTGTATAACCAAGGCAATAGAATCAAGAAGCAAAACAATCTGTTATTGAAATAATCTGCTTCAGATACCACATTTGGATAAGTGTATATTTGCAATATTTTATTTTTATTAGCCATAAAAATTTAGTAACCTTCATTGAAAGGCTGCAACATAAAGATTAAATGTTTTGTAAGAACATCTGATTTATGAATAAAAATATGCACTACTTTGTTAAATTTGTATTGGACTCTACAATTGAACGAAAATATTTAACAATAATTATTAATATAATAATTTCATTGCATGTATACACTTATAACAGCAAGATACCTACAGATCTAACAACTTAAAGTAAAAGAAGTAATTTAAAGAATTTTGTTTTCCGATGCATTCTACGTTTCTAACACGTTAGCTGCGGCGTTCCTCAGTGAGGGAATCAGCAAGTATAATCGAACACGCAGCGAACGTATCAGAGGAGAACTCAAATACATTTTTATCCGAAATAAACACGCGGTTACGGGAGAAATTATATCGAGCAGTGCTGTGTGAGAAACCGTGAAAAGGAAACCAATGAACGGAAAGAACGATGTACGAATGAGAAATGAAAAATAAGGGTGCACTCGTAGTACCTTGAGGTGATGCTTAAACTTGAAGGCTTTCTCGCAATGGGGACACTTAAACTTACGAAGCACGGCACTTTCATCATGGCTGATCATGTGCCTCTGGAGTCGGTAGACGTTAGCAAAAGTCTTGCTGCACACCTTGCAGGACTGCAAAAATTCATTGTTAATCTCGTCAATTGCTAATTAAAACTTTAATCCTTCAACTGAGTAGAAAGTTTATTTTTCATAAGGCAACAAGAATAGAGGTTTGATCGAAAATTTATATTTTTTACCAATTATGGCAATTAAAAGCTTTGAAGATTAGAAGAGAAGGTATATTAAATTTTAATTAAAATTTCAGTTCTTGCTATTCAGTTACAGGATTGACTGAAAATAATACTTAAATTTTTATGTTAGCGATGTTGGATATGTTTGTGTTAAAAATAAAATAAGACATGAAGAGTGGGTGTTGATATTTATATGTACGAAGGGTGATTTAGTTCTTCTAATATAAATTTAAATAAACATGTTCCTCTTCATCTTTTAACCCAAGTAAAATAATTTGACATTACAAGTCTCAGAAAGACTTGTTTTCCATGCATCAAGTTTTATGTCAAATCTGAAAGACTTCATTTGACCCTATTTTTTAATCATCCCCAGAAAAATATCCAGTGGAAAATTAATTAATCTAACTTCCCAAAAATTGCAGAAAATTTATCCATAAAAATTCTCTTCGTATCCCAAAAGAATATACCTTCAACCCTATTCGCCAACGTCGAAAATAATCAAAGGTAAAAAATGTAAAAAGAATAACAAAACTTGCCACATCTACCCCTTCTACCTTGATCCACACCCTTCTATTCCCTAATCATCCCCGAAAACATCGAGCAAACAGAAGAAAAGGAAAAAGAAGAGGAAGAACACATCGTACAGACAAGAGCAAACATCTCGTATGAAGAGTACACGAAGAGAGAGAGAGAGAAGGTAGGAGAAGGGGTGCAGGAGAATCCGCAAGCCGGTCGCGCATGATCGATAATACACAAGGAACAATGGAGTCCTCTCGTCCTTGACGTTAGTTTCACTCACCACTTGGGGGAATTGAGCGTTGAGATCGTTCTTGTCGATGGCGTACGGGTTCTTGTGCGTGTCCTCGAGATGGAGCTGAAGCACGTGGACGTCCCGACAGAGGATACCACACTGGGGACACCTCTCGCCACCCTGCTTCGTTGATCCGCCCTCACCGTTGCTACCACGGCCACCACCACCTCCTGTTCCTGTTCCTGCACCACCACTGCCGCCTCCGCCACCACCACCACCATCAACCTCGCTACCTGTCCCGCTACCACCTCCACCAGCACTTCCTGTGGTTGGCGGCCCGGCTGCGCAACCTCCGCCCACCTCCGCGTTCACGACACCTGCTGCCTCGTCCTCGCTGCAACCTGAAACACAACGAGCCACACGTGCACACCGTTATTTCTTCTCTCGCTTTTCGTTCGTTTTTTTTATTTTCATCCCTTTTTTTCTCTCTCTCTCCGTAGCCTATCGGTGTCCGCGATAACAGACCATCAGGGTGTGTGTACTCGTCAGGGGTGCAGATGCGTTTTAACGCTTTTCAACGGGTGTAACCGAATGGACTTTTTCTGCTTTTGTGCGCTTCTATTCGGTTTTGTTTTGTAGGATATACATGGAAACATTTCGAAGGAGTATAGGGACATTTCGAAGGAGGTATAGGGACATTTCGAAGAAGGTATAGGGACATTGGGATGCGGAGACATACTTATCTCTATGTGGGCCTGATAGTAATTTGAGGATGTAGCAATTTGATGATACCAGAATCTAGGAGTAGAGAAATTTGGAGATACAAGTATCTAGAGATATAAAAAAGACCTAGAATCATGGAAGTATAAGACTCTAGAGACATAGAGACCTAAGGACATAGGAATCTTGCATAATGAAAATCTGTGGATATAGGAATCTAGGGATATAAAAATTAAGGCTCATAGAGACACAGAGAAATGTTATATAAATCTGAGAATACAGATAACCAGAAAAACAAAAATTCCCTAGATCCACTAGTACCATAATCGAGCAGAGAAATCCACGGATTCATACAGCTTTGCATATAAAAATTCCCTAGATTCAAATCTGTCTCAACAAGCTCCCAGATATTCCCTAGATTTGGGGACAGAATATGGGAATCTAGGAATCTAGAAAAATAGCAACCTAGGAACATAACTAGAATATTACTAGATATCTAGAAGTACCTAGAAATTTAAGAACATGACGCTTGACTCTCAAATAGAGTACCCAATAAAAATTAAAAACGTGCAATAAAATGTGATAGGTCAAAATGTAACGTTAGAAAGATCAGAAATTATCCGCCAGCATATGCGCATTATTTAATCCAGTTGATCGGAATTTACTTAACATGCAGTTTCCCGGAAGAGTATCTGTGGTTTGACCAACCGCCGCAAGGTGATTCTGGCCAAGCTGATATCGTGCACGGTAGCTGATAAATCGCGCAGGGCAATTAATCAACCGATCGTTATAACACACCGTTCAGAATTTAAATTCATCCTGTCGCAAGCTGTTGCTAAAACACCGTATAACCACCGTTCAACTAACGAGCAATCGAGACACCTGCTGCCTCGTCCTCGCTGCAACCTGAAACACAACGAGCCACACGTGCACACCGTTATTTCTTCTCTCGCTTTTCGTTCGTTTTTTTTATTTTCATCCCTTTTTTTCTCTCTCTCTCCGTAGCCTATCGGTGTCCGCGATAACAGACCATCAGGGTGTGTGTACTCGTCAGGGGTGCAGATGCGTTTTAACGCTTTTCAACGGGTGTAACCGAATGGACTTTTTCTGCTTTTGTGCGCTTCTATTCGGTTTTGTTTTGTAGGATATACATGGAAACATTTCGAAGGAGTATAGGGACATTTCGAAGGAGGTATAGGGACATTTCGAAGAAGGTATAGGGACATTGGGATGCGGAGACATACTTATCTCTATGTGGGCCTGATAGTAATTTGAGGATGTAGCAATTTGATGATACCAGAATCTAGGAGTAGAGAAATTTGGAGATACAAGTATCTAGAGATATAAAAAAGACCTAGAATCATGGAAGTATAAGACTCTAGAGACATAGAGACCTAAGGACATAGGAATCTTGCATAATGAAAATCTGTGGATATAGGAATCTAGGGATATAAAAATTAAGGCTCATAGAGACACAGAGAAATGTTATATAAATCTGAGAATACAGATAACCAGAAAAACAAAAATTCCCTAGATCCACTAGTACCATAATCGAGCAGAGAAATCCACGGATTCATACAGCTTTGCATATAAAAATTCCCTAGATTCAAATCTGTCTCAACAAGCTCCCAGATATTCCCTAGATTTGGGGACAGAATATGGGAATCTAGGAATCTAGAAAAATAGCAACCTAGGAACATAACTAGAATATTACTAGATATCTAGAAGTACCTAGAAATTTAAGAACATGACGCTTGACTCTCAAATAGAGTACCCAATAAAAATTAAAAACGTGCAATAAAATGTGATAGGTCAAAATGTAACGTTAGAAAGATCAGAAATTATCCGCCAGCATATGCGCATTATTTAATCCAGTTGATCGGAATTTACTTAACATGCAGTTTCCCGGAAGAGTATCTGTGGTTTGACCAACCGCCGCAAGGTGATTCTGGCCAAGCTGATATCGTGCACGGTAGCTGATAAATCGCGCAGGGCAATTAATCAACCGATCGTTATAACACACCGTTCAGAATTTAAATTCATCCTGTCGCAAGCTGTTGCTAAAACACCGTATAACCACCGTTCAACTAACGAGCAATCGATACAAACCAGCACACCATCGTGTATGTACACAGTTGTTCGAACTATGTGGTCTCATGGCTAACCGTAGTTAAACGGATTTTCTTGTTCGGTGACTGCGCGTTAACCAACGCGAAAGACCGGGAAATACCGAGGAAGGATAACGTTTAATTCGAAAGAAAGCTCTCGAAGATACGATATTTGGCAAATCGCCGGCCAAGATAAAAATTTCGCCGTGAGTCATCTTCATCGAACACTTTCGCCAGCACGGGGGATCGATCATGTTCGCGCATTCCTCGCCAAGAAGATCACCGATCCGAGTATTATTTTTTCAATGGTTCTTTCTATTTCTGGTGGGTCGTAAATTGACCCGATTCTTGAGTTATGGTGTTTTCGAAAGATGGGTCTATGTTTGGAAGCTTGACATTTGGGGAGTTTAAGTTTGGGAGAATAGGTAGTTTCAAATATCTGGGTCTTCATATATTCATATATCCTTACATCTCTATACCTCTACATGTCTATACTTCTACATCTCTATACTCCTACATCTCTGTACCTCTACACCCCTGTACCCCTACATCTCTATACCTCTACATGCCTATACCTCCACATGCTTATACCTCCACATGACTATATCTCCACATCTCTATAACTCTACATGCCTATACCTCCATATGACTATATCTCCACATGCCTATACCTCTACATGTCTATACTTCCACATGCCTATACCTCCACATGCTTATACCTCCACATGTCTATCCCTCCACATGCCTATACTTCCACATGCCTATACTTCCATATGCCTATACCTCCACATACCCATACCTCCACATGTCCATACCTCCACATGCCTATACCTCCACATGCTTATACCTTCACATGACTATATCTCCACATGCCTATACCTCCACATGCCTATACCTCCACATGCCTATACCTCTACATCCCTATATCCTTATATCCCTATACCTCTACGTCCCTATATCTCTACGACCCTATACCTATACGTCCCTATACCAATGCGTCCCTATATCTCTACATGCCTATACCCTTATATCCCATACCCCTATACCTCTACACCTCTATACTCCTAAATCCCTAAATCCCTATACTCCTAAATTCCTAATTTCCTATACTTCAAAATCCCCATATACCTCTTCCTCTTCACCTAACCTCCAATCCCCAAATTCCCATATTTCTAACCCTCTAACCCCCCATACCCCACATCTCCACATCCCTATAACCCTATACTCCAATATCCCCAAATTCCCAAATTACCAATCTCCCAAATTTCCAAATTTAACAACAAACTCGATGATCCCTGTTACCTCCTCGTCACAGCATGTCCACATAAATGGACTTTCGTTGTATCGCCGATTTTGTGCCATCCTGTATAATCTGTTACAACAAAGCTCACGGACCGTGTACCAACGCGAGAAGCGAACTTTGCTCGCATTGTAGACCGATAAAACGTCGAAATGGGTCAGAGCCGTGACCTTTCCTACCGTTCGAGGATGTTGGCTGTGTTGCTTTCGCGTTTGGCGACGCTTTTAAAAAGCATCCGACAAATCCCGTGACCGTTGCCACGATAAACGTCCACGTTCGATCACGTTGCGCGTACAGCTCGTTACGAAATCCCGATCTTTCGATCGAATTATTATTCTCGCTGACCACTATTATCGAACGGAAAATGCGTTCGTCGGCGAGGTTAACACACTCTTTTTAATCATTCATCGCTGAAGATGAATGGCGTGCAATCGATATCTGTTCGCGGTTGCACAGAAAGCTTTTAACCCTATGTCTATCGTTTACACAGCGATAATCTACGTATAATTTTATATTTCATTGCATCTTTCGTTTTTGACGTTTTATGTATTGCCTTGAACATTGTGAACCGGCAATATAAGGTGTGGTAATGGTATTAGATGGAAATGTTACTAGATCTTGTGAGATCAATTTTCTGAGGTATATCTCAGATTCCTGGATCTTTAAATATTGTATAACTCAGGCTGAAAATTCCCTAGATCTCACGTTCATGAAATCTAGAAATTTCCTAGAGTATCTAGGGATATCTTTTCTAGGTCCATATCTCTAGATATAGCATCACAGAATACCAAAAATCCCTAGATGCAGAAATGTTCAAGTTTCATATCTAAAAATTCCCTAGATCCACTAGAACCATTTACTATAGAGCAAAGAATTATATATCTTCGAGTACCAAAAATTCCCTAGATTTCCAAATCCTCTATCTGGTGCCCTTAGATCTAAGAAAATCCCTAAATACCCAAACACCCTTATTTCGTGAAAACTAAAAAATTTCCTAGATTGCCTCACACGTAGTTCCACGTATCCCTAGATCTAAGAATCCCCTAGATTTCCATATACACCGTTCCCTATATTCCTATATCCTAAAAATTTCCTCGATTTTCATATACACTGTTCCCTATATCCCTATATTAGAAAAATTTCCTAGATTTCCATATACACTGTTCCCTATATCCCTATATCAGAAAAATTCCCTAGATCCGATTAATTCCCTAGATTTGCATATACACTGTTCCCTATATCCTTATATCAGAAAAATTCCCTAAATCCGTAA